GAGAAATAATGAGAAGATTTTCAGATATACAGTTGAACTTGCACAGGTATGTTTCAAATAATATATTAAATTTTTATAGTAGAAAGCTATAGATGTTTACAGTAGCAAGCACTGTATTGTGTACAACTAAAAATAGCTGTGAGGGAATGACACTGGGAACTTGACACATTAAAGTTGTAAATGGTCTTTCTTGTTCTTTAGGAGAAAAATAAAACTAAGTATGCAATACATGCACATAATGCTGCCGATTTAGTTAAATGATGACATAAATTTGTAGTTTACACAGAGGTGAAACAGACTTAGTGATTAGTGAAAACAATTTCAGGTATGGAGCCCTAGCATTGAAACCCAAAACTAGGGCTGCACGATATTGGAAAAATCTGACATTGTTTGAAAGAATAATTACAGTAGAGCAAAAAAAAGTAAAATAAACAGTGCTTTATGGTTTTCAGGAGAGTCAAACAGTATTGAGATACAGACATTTAATAATGTAAGGTTAAATAACACTGTATAGTCTTCATTTTATTAATAATTCAGTAAATTTTTTCTTCATTAAAGTTATAAATGTTTTACGGTATTGTGTCCAAATGCTTTAGACTTTTTTTTTTCAATGCCTTTAAAACACATGCAAATGATACATTTTCACTCTGTTATGATTATACTATAAAATGACACCACGAATGTCATGTATTCTCTTGTGTTGATCGACTACAATCCCAACTTAACATTGCAAATACTGCAATGTGACTATTGCGGACACACACATTGCGATATCAATGCTAAAACGATATATTGTGCAGCCCTACCCAAAACATTCTCTTTCTCTCTCTTAACAAGCTGAGAGCGCTCATCATCTGATTTTAGAGGTTGCTGTGTTTCACTGTTTGTCTTATTTCTACTTTTTTTTTTTCAAAATTTTCTCAAAATTCTCACTCGTGCACACTCCACCCACCTCTCCTTCAGCTTTAATCTGATCGCTGGCAGGCTGGCAGTGTCTCTGAATTGTTCACGCCTCGGGCATGTGCAGTACGGTTTTAAAAATAAGTAATAACGTAAAATCTTAATGGTTATAGACAGATTTTACAACATATGACTGAAAATCTATCAAAAAGCTATATAATAATATAGGTTTCTTAGGGCCCACTAATTTCCCGATGCCCTAAGTGGCTGTTTACCTCACTTATTGGTTAAGTCTGCCCCTGATGGCTGGAAAAACGGAAATTTGTTTTCCAAAGTTTTCATTCCCAAAATTTGGTTCCCAAGAATTGTTGTGTAAATGTACTGTACGACTAAATGTATGCATAAAATTTCTTAATTCTTTTTGAACCTTTGGATTCTACCATCTTCAGTTTTGCTATTTGCGTGTGTGTGTGTGTGTGTGTGTGTCTGTTTGTGTGATTATTTTACCTGCTGCAGCCAATAGTTTTCACTTTTTTCTGTTCTCAACCCAGAGGTGGCCCCCTCCTACTCAACTCTTCCCACGCTCTCGAACAGACTGCTTTGATTGTCTACATGAAATGAAATCATATATTTATTGTGGGTATTCAAAGCAACAGATCATTGGCAGTGATGTTCTGTGGGCAGCTTAGAGACAGAAAAATATCTCTCCAATGACTTTGCATGATGACCTCTGTTGGATAAGGAAATATAAAAGTCAATATTAGAAAGATATCAGTAATTCACTGCAGAGATTCAGTGGGGGAGGCAGAGGTTGTTTCGTAGGTTTAAGATGATGGAAATTTCCTTAAGGGAAAGTCATAAAGACCAAATGTGCTCTAAAAAAACAAATCACAGCAGTGTTGCTTGAGAAACGGCATGTTACTCGACCACAGGGATGTAAAATTAAGAGATGTGATAGTGAGTTGAGGATAAATATTTTCACAGCATTTAAAATGACTCTAAACCCTTTTGTAAAAAGAAAGAATGTTAAATTGTACATATAAGTCAGATAGTTTGTGACTGTAAAGGGCACCTATGATGAAATTCATCTTTTGTAAACTGTTGGACACAACTGTGTGTAGGTATAGTGTGTCTACAGTTATTTTGGGGTAATATAAATAAGTCTCTAAATTAGACAATAAGTCTTTTTTTAATTTCCTGATGTTAAAATAGGATCCAAATCCTTCCCGTTTTGAGGCCCACCGCAACATGACGAACCACATGAGGGTAAATAAGTAATGATTGAATTTTATTTTTTGATGAACTATCCCTTTAGGAAAACTTGAGTATCACAACATTTATCAAATACTGATATCCATCTTTAAAATATGTTATTGTCTGTGTTTGATAAACAAATAATGTTTATAATATTTGTATTGCACATTTTATATATTAGTATTATTTGTGTCATTTTCATCATAGTTTAAAGGGCACCTATTTAATATATATATACATATATCTATATATATATACATATATTAGCATTTACTGACACCATGCAGCCTTGGTGATTATAGCAGTCAAGAATTACATAGCGATTTTACTGTCTTTATTACAAACATGTTCTGTTTTAAAAACATTTTAAACTTATAAAAATCAGAGTGAGTTGAAACAGATATTTCAATTTTAGTTTATTTGAAAAAATAATGTTCTGTGTACTTGTGTATACATGTTATTATAAAAACATGGCACCAGTCAATCAATTCGGTGTGCGGGGGAAATCCACACTCCTATGTTACGTTGAGCTGGGCCTCAAAATCACTGGAATTTGGGTCCTATTTTAACATCAGACAATTTTTTGCAAAAAAAACTTGTTGGGTTTCTATCACTCCAATATAACAGTAGACACAATATTTACACACAGATCTGTCCAAACAGCTTACAAAAGTTGATTTTTATCATAACACTTTAAAAAACAATAAATAGAATCAGCCTCGTATTCCATAAAATGTCTAAACACTTCAGCACTCCGTTATCTGCCTCTACAATCCCTGTGCATTAGATAAAGGAAACAGAAAGCAGACAGTATGTGGCGTCTTCAGAGAGAAATGTATTGGTAACCAGACCCCCAGACATCATTGTGCTTCTGGAACTGACATAACCATACCGCTTCTATCAATTAGTCCTAATAACAGTGCTCTTTCCAGCTCATTTTAGAGTAAATATCTTGTTTAACCACCTCAAACAGTTGCCTCATCAATTATCAAAATAACTGACTGCTATCTTAATGATTTGCTTAAAGTCTGACATCGAGATTATGGAAACAGGTTCATTAGCAGTGGCTTAGTTTTAGCTGACTGATCTGCATACAGTCGTTGTCAAGGATTAAATATCGTTGAATTTCCTGAGTGAGCGTAAACTGTTGGTTTGTCCCCTGCTTTACCCTTGAGATCCTGTTGACAGTGTAGTTCTCTCTCTCTTACTCTCTCATTGTGTGTGTGTGTGTGTGTGTGTGTGTGTGTGTGTCTGTGTGTGTGTGTGTGTGTGTGTGTGTGTGTTTGTCGGTGTAGATTTTCCCATGGGACGGAGCGGCAAAATTCCAGAGGTGTGGAAATGTTCAGAAAGAGACCTCCTCCAGGTAAACAATTAGCTACTCTCTCTACAAAAACACACACTATTAAATTTAATTGTGATGTTGTGCTCTGAATTTCAAACACATACAGCCTTTTTATTCTTAATGTGCCAGGGAAATCATATTAATATTCATTTTCAAAAGAGTCTACACTTTCACTTTGATTGTCTAATTATTATTCTTTATTATAGTGTTACAATTATTTTTTTATTTTTACTTTGGTTAAGTTGATGGCTAATTTGCAATTTGCAAATGTGTACAGTCATTCCTTACAGTCATGAGGCCTTCACTCTTCTTTTTACAAGTGTATATTTTCATTTGAATCACATTCATTTATTTTCCTTTGACTTAGTCCCTTTATTCATCGTTTTATCAGGGGTCGCCACAGCGGAATGAACCGCCAACTTATCCCGCATATGTTTTTACACAGTAGATGCCCTTCCAGCTGCAACCCAGTACAAAGAAACATCCATGCACACTCATTCACACACATACACTGCGGACAATTTAGTTTATTTAATTCACCTGTAGCGCATGTCTTTGGATTGTGGGGAAAACCGGAGCACCCAGAGGAAACATGCAAACTTCACACTGAAATGCCAACTGACCCAGCCAGGACTTAAACAAGCGACCTTCTTGCTCTAAGGTGACAGTGCTAACCACTGAGCCACTGTGTCACCCTGAATTACATTACAAATGGTTTATAATCCATGCTTTTATTACTTCTAGGTTGGACTAATATAACTCACTATAGTTTGGGATTAGTCAGAGTACTCATTCCCGTTTACAGTTAGTTCACAATGCTGCTGCAAGGCTTTTAACCGGTACCAAAAATATGACCACTATCACTGTGCACTATCATGTCACTTTTAAAATTCTTCTCTTGGTTTTAAAATGGCTTAGCTTCTTCTTATCTGTCAGACATGTTGATTGAACATCAGCCTGGTCGGTTTCTTCAGTCATCAAACAAGTGACTATTATGCATCCCTAAGTCGAGGATGAAATGCAGAGGTGACCGTACTTTCGCAGTAGCTGGTCCTACATTGTCGAGTGCTCTGCCCCTTTGAATTAGATCTATTTCAACTCTGTATGTTTATAAATCTAGGTTGAAATCTTACCTTTTTGTTTTGGCATTTTATCAGAGAGAATTGTTTGTTTTAGCTATAATTTTATATCTTTCTTTTTTTGATTTGTAAAAAAAAATTGGAAAAAAATAATCACTTTAAAATACAATTTTAGATGTTTTTGTTTCAATTAAATTTGTATTAAATTATTTTTAAAATATTGTTGTTTTAATAACTGTTGGTGTTATACCATTCTAAAGCCTGAATCTTATGCTTGTGCGTTCACTAGCACAACACCAAAGTTAAACACATACACGTGAGTGCATATATGCTGAAGCATTTTGTTTAGCAGTGAAGAGTTTTCTCTCCTTGGCACGAGACTTCTCTCTCTGTCTCTCTCTCTCTATCTCTCTCTCTCTCTCTCTCTCTTTCCCTCTTTCTCTCTCTCGCTCTCTGCACATGTTCTGAGACTCTGTAACAGATGTAGCACGTGCACCAACACCTGACTAATCCAGATGTCTTCCGCAGTGCCACCATTTCTTACCCCCTCCTTGCCCTAACTTATGAAACTGCCTATTTATCAGGAGCCATTTTGGCTCAAAATCTCATTACCGTATGGACATTTCAGTGCCAGAGGAGCCAGTATGGGCTTCTCGTGTCCTCAAAGCCATCCATCTTTCACATCTCTGCAGTGTAAGTCGCCCTGGCAACCTCATCACTCAGTTTCTATTGGCCATCTCATCAGCCAATAGAAAGACTTTCTGATTATGTCATATAAAAACAACGTCGTAGTGGCGCCTCTCAGTGTTTTGACAGTGTCTGGTGACAGTGCCTAACATAATCGTAGTCAGTCCTGTCAGAAATCGATATTTCTGAGGATTTAGTTATATGTCAATTATTATTTGCGTGTTTATGAGATTCAAACTATATTGGTTTGTCAGAATTGAAAAACAAACACGCAGTGACGTCTGGAAGAAAGTTTCTCAAGTTCAACTGAAGGTGCTATAACAGCCGTACCTTATTCAAAATGTGCTCTATCAAAAACTGTTTTATGAAATCTGGTTTACCCTGAATGACCTCAACGACTCTGCGGCAGATCAGAAGGGTGAGAAGGAGTGAAGTTGGTTTTACCGCTGCGTCGGTCATTTGAAGTCTTTCATTCTGCAGCTGCCGCGCGCGCGCCTTTCCGCCGCTCCGCCGACTTCTGTTCGCGCAGAGCTATGTAAATGAAACGACAGTGGGACAACATGACTATCCCGAAAGACATCCCAGAGAAGTGGTTTCCAGTCATTCTCCCTCTGAAAAGGAAGAAAGAGGGATTAACCAGCTCGACAAAAATAAGAAAAGGAGCAGGTACCTTTACTTTGCGTTATTACCACAGACGATCCTTTAGTGTTTACTTGGTAGATTGTGTTTTTCAAAGTGTATAACATGTAGTCACAATAGAATAGAGGTCATTTAGACCTTGAATTGAAAATATAACATGTTTTATTTTTCTAATTTAGTTTTCAGTGTTTTATCCTCAGTGAAAACTTCTGTGTATTTTAAATAAAAAGATTGCTTGTTTCCCCCATGTGTGCTTATTCATCAACTTCACCCTCATGGTTTTCATACACTCACATGTGACGTGTGTTTATGTCCCATGATGACCTTGTGATCAAATCCATCATGCTTTCCCTCATCAACATTTCACAAATCACTCAACATTAATATTAACTTTTCAGTTTATTTTTATTGTAAAAGTCTATAAAGCTTTAGGTCTTGTTTATTACGTCGAAACAACCTCATATCTGCAATGAGGGTTAATGCTTTTTAGTTATGGCAGATGATCTGTCTTAGACTATACTTAATTACAAACTCTTTCTAATTAGTATTTTTATGTCCTGTTTCAAAGCTGTTTTATCACAATATGTTAAATAAGCGATGAGTGAAATAGTAATCTTTTTTTGTAGATTCACCTCATTTAAAAAAGGGATTTAATGAACACATTCTGCAGCATCAGTTTTATTTTGTTTTTGCAGCAGTTTATATTTCACTAAAAAGTGTTAGAAATGTTATTTTTAGTGACGTTAACACTTTTATCTAATTTTTTTTGATAATTTTTCTTTCTGACTGCATATTTAGAGTTTTTATTTTAAGAATAAGCTAAGGGCATAAGGGTGAAATGCATTTGAGATATTCTGCTGATATAATATATGCACAGTGGTGTGATAAAGTGTTTGCCCCCTTACTAATTTTTTTTCTTTTTTTTGTTTTGTTTTTGCATTTTATTGTTTCGGATCATGAAACAAATTATTGTTTTGTTAAAAATAAAACAAATAAACACATCATGCAGTTTGAATTAATGTTTTTATTATTAAGGGAAATAAACCAAACCCAAAACTACATAACCCAGTGTGAAAAAGTGTTTGCCACAGAATCATGCCGAAGTTCCAAAAAGAGAGAGAGAAAGAAAACTACTTTCTAAAAAAGATCTACCAGTTTAAAATAAGGTTACAAAAGCCATTTCTAAATCGTTGGGCCTGCAGCAAACCACAGTAAAAGCCATTAGTTTCAAAAACATGGAACAGTAAAGAACCTAACCAGTAGTGGCCAGCCTACCAAAATAACCCCAAGAGTGTATCGATGCAACTCATCCAAGAGGTCTTAAAAGACCCAATAACATCATCCAAAGAACTGCAGGCCACACTAGCCTCAGCCAAAGATAGTTTTCATGGCTTCACCATAGCAAGTGTTTACATTTGCAAGTGTTTCACCCAAGATAAAAACAACTTCAGGACAAAAATAACATAAAGGCTTCTCAGTTTGGCAAAAAACATCTTGATGACTTTTTGACTGAATTACAACAATTCTGCAAAGATGAGTAGGCCAAAAGTCCTGAACAGCGCTATAACAGACAAATCCCAAGTTAGTGAAAACACTTGGTTGCAGTTATTGCTGCTAAGGATGGCCCAACCAGTTATTAGGTTTAGGGGTCAAACACTTTTTCACACAGGGCTATGTAGTTTTGTATTTTCTTTTTCTTTAATAATAAATACCTTAATTTCAAACTGCATAATCTGTTTACTAGTGTTATGTTTAACTAATGTTTAAATTTGTTTTTTTTTTTTTTATCTAAAAGAGTGACAAACATGCATAACTTTGGTTTGTGGTGGATGGCACATTTTTGTGTATTTTTCCTACATTATTCAAAAGGATAGAAATAAGAAATTTCCTCATGACATGATATTGTATGCTGTACTGTATCACCACACAGCGTTTGCTACACCATAGATGTTATTATCACTCAGACAGATAGCAGCATGTGAAACTGCCCAGAATGACTCAGGTATACCAAGCAAATTCATTTCAAATCGAAAAAATTCCCACAAAATTACCTGTGCACTCATAACTGTTGTCAACCTACAAACAAGCCAAACACGATTACGCTATGTCCTTTATTGCATTATTTAATGGTACTGACATTACAGTAAGTTGACCTTTAAGACCAAGAAAGATCCAGTGGACAATAAGCCAGAGAATGTGTTCGATATTTAGGTAGGAACTGCAGTAAAACTGCTTCTAGTCATAGCAGTCATCTATTTCTTAACACTGGGGCTTGTTAATGTCTGTTCTGACACAGTTGTGATCTCCTGTGTAACTGTTATATCTCGATAGTACACTTAACATGGCCATTATCATCATTATGCTCAATCAGATTTAGTTAGAATGGCCTTTTGTCATCTCTGTGGGATATTTATGCCCTCAAAATGAATGTAGCTGTATTTTCTATGGCAGTGTTTGATAAGTGACCTCTGAATGCATTGCACATTTATTTTAATAAGCGATAATAAAAGGCATAAAGTGGGACTTCACAGCTACCGTTGGCTTTTAATAAGACTTGGCTGTCAGTAAAAATGGAAACCATCGTCCTTGGTTGCAATTTTTGCATTTTCATACAAACAGTGCTTCATAAGTGGTTTCACACAGGGCGTAAACACTCGCTTATCACCACACATAAGTAAAACATCTTATCTGTGGTTTGTTGCCAACATAAAAGCTCTGGTTTAACTTTTGAAAGAAAGACAACAACCATCAATTTTACTATTATTGTCTAAAATAATATTATCTTATTAATTTTTATTATTAAATGCTTTGCAGGGTGCTAGCATTTGTTTATTTATTAAATTCTAAATGTAAATGAAAAAGCTAAATTATTATTATTATACACTCACTGGCCACTTTTTTTAGGTAACTGATCATTAACGCAAATTTTTAATTAGCCAATCACATGGCAGCAGCTCAATGCAATTATGCATGTTGACATGGTCAAGATGATCTGCTGCAGTTCAAACCGAGCATCAGAATGGGAAGGAAAGGTGATTTAAGTGATTTTGAACGTTGCATGGTTGATAGGCCAGACAGGCTGGTCTGAGTATTTCAGAAACTGCTGATCCACTGGGATTTTCATGTACAACCATCTTTAAGGTTTACAGAGAATGGCCTAAAAAAAGAGAAAATATCCAGTGAGCGGCAGTTCTGTGGGTACAAATATCTTGTTGATAGCAGAGGTCAGAGGAGATTGGCCAAACTGGTTTAAGCAGATAAAAAGACAACAGTAACTCAAATTACCACTTGTTACAACCGAGGTATGCAGAAGAGCATTGAGGCAGATGGGCTACAGCAGCAGAAAACCACATAGGGTGCCACTCCTGTCAGCTAAGAACTGGAAACTAAGGCTACAATTCGCACAGGCTTACCAAAATTGGACAACAGAAGATTGGAAAAACGTTGCCTGGTGTGATGAGTCTCGATTTCTGCTGTGACATTTGGATGGTAAAGCCAGAATTTGGCATTTACAACATAAAAACATGGATCCATCCATACTGCCTTGTATCAATGGTTCAGGCTGATGGTGGTGGTGTAATGTTGTGGGGAATATTATTGTCTTGCCACACTTTGGGCCCATTAGTACCAATTAAGCATTGTGTCAATGCCACAGCCTACCTTAGTATTGCTGCTAACCATGTCTATCCCTTTATGACCACAGTATACCCATCTTCTGACCCATCTTCATCTTCCAGTAAGATAACGTGCCATGTCATAAAGCGCGAATCTTCTCAGACTGGTTTCTTGAACATGAAAATGTGTTCACTGTACGTAAATGGCCTCCACAGTCCACAGATCTCAATCCAATAGAGCACTTTTGGGATGTGGTGGAACGGGAGATTCAAATCATGGATGTGCAGCAGACAAATCTGCAGCAACTGTGTGATGCTATCATGTGAATATGGATCAAAATCTCTGAGGAATATTTCCAGTACCTTGTTGAATCTTTGCCACAAAGGATTAAAGCAGTTTTGAAGGCAAAAGGGGGCCAAACCCGGTACTAGTAAGGTGTACCTAATAAAGTGGTCGGTGAGTGTAACTATTTATTGCAATCCAAATCAAAAAAAATTTTTGTTGAGTAAAGGACAATGTAGCTACAGTTTCATAGTGAATAAAGCCATTTTTAGCCGTTAATTTTACTTTAGTCCTTAGTCATTGGCAGATATAACAAAAATGCTAGCTTTAAGCATTAACATTCAGTGCACGGACATCTGAAACAGCTTCCGATAACATGTTGTTGCCTATTTTTACCATCTGTTGGTGTTCATCTAGAGTCTAGTGTTCTGAGCTGCAGTCAGTGAGTGTTACGCCTGTCCTTATATGAACTCCTGTAATTTCTTTGCTCACAGAGTCTGCTCCCTGCTATTGCACCGAGCTCTGAAATGGCCAAACCTCCTGAATATTTGACAAACACGCTCTTGAACGGTCATGCTTGAGTGGATGGATTTTGTCAGCCCAGCCTAAGGAAAAAAGATGAGTCAGGCTGGCCATATGAAAGCATGTGCCAAAGATAAGAAGGGCTGTGGAAAAGGGAGCAGACTGAAATTGGAGAGAGAGAGTAGAAGCAAGCAGACGATGCACAGGGACAGATAAAGTGAACGGTCATGTGAAGGTCATGTGCATATTTGATCAGATTAGCAAATTCTGCATGATTGCTTAGCATATGGATAGAAAATACGTTGAAGCACGGTTGGAACTTAACACTTCACGGCGGTTGTCCTCCAGAAACTGATTATGACACCATTGTTATAGCGCGTTTGAGTGGTCAGAAAGTTTAATGACAAACTGAAGTATGAGGTAATGGTAAATAAATCCTTGATCCGTTAAGTAAAAGTGACAATCTGCAAGCTTTGGATGTTTATTTCTTTAAATTGTGAATTGTGTCATTGTTTTGGATCACATTAGCTCTTTAAAGGCCGAGACACATCAAGTTGACACCAAACAACTAGCGCTGACAAAAAACAACTGTTGTCACCTCATGTTGG